CCCTGGGCAACCTGATCTAGTGCCAGATCTGGAGGTTGTTGGCCCTGCCTATGGCAGGAGGCTTGGAACTTGATGACCCTTGGAATTCCTTCCAACTCAAGACATTCTATGGTGGTTCTATGATGATAATTATACGATGTGGCTGAAGGCTAAAAGAAACAGATATGGGCTGGTACTTGTGGGAGTTAGGCACCAGTCGAGAAGCATTGTATCACGTACTGACAAGGTGCAGGTGATTCTACTGGTAGTACAGCAAAATGCAAGGAACCAGGGAATCAGAATTGCAAACTGTTTTACTTGTGTGAGAAGAAGGACAGATGATGGACTTCATGGTCCATTTGCCTTTCCATTGTGGCAGCTGGCACCTCCCACTTAAGCCGTGCTGCTCTAAGACTCAAGTATTTACACTGATAAAAAGTCTATTGTAATTGTCTGACTTTGTTTGGAAGTAAGGTCAGTAGCAGTGGCTTTAAATTCAGTAAGCCCAAACTTAATATGCAGAACCAGTTTGCGTTTCCTCCCTAACTTTGTGTCTGGCATTGGTACTGTGCATGAACCAAGCAGTTCCAGCCCTTCCTCATCTACGTACTGTGCATCCTGCTTTTCTGTGGAATAAAAAGCAAACAATGCACTTGTCTGATCTGGTTCTATTGGTGTGAAAATATATTGGGCAGCTTCATTTATACTCACTGACTCCCCAGTTCCCACCAATTTCGAGAAGAGATCTTTGCAATAGACACGGCCATCAGCTTTTGAGACTCTTCGTTTACGAATGTCATGGATAGCTGCATCAAAGTCCCTACTTACACATAGGCCGTATGTCCGAGCACTGATTCTTGAAGTAATAATTTTTGGATTGATTCCAAACAAAACAGCCCCTTTTGCAATGGCAATCTGGGCTTCTAGTGGACAAAATATATGATATTTCTTACTAAAAGCCTGCCTGACCTCATGTCTCAGCATGACGCTGGATGCGAAGCCTCCCACAAGCAAAATGTACTGGACCTTGGCCATCTCAGGCTTGGCAAGGATTTCTCTCAAAGCAGCAATAATTTTTTGGATGCTATATTCAAAAAAGCTTTTCATTTTCTCGTATGTAATCATGATCATCCCATCACACCACACAGCCCCTGTAGTTTTTTCGAAGAAGCGGGAGATGCCCTTCTTTCTTTCTGCAAGTTTGGTCAAATTGTAATAGCAATGCAAGTAGACTGCCTCCCCGTCAGCAGAGCATTTCTGGAAGCTGAAGTCGTACATCATCCGTTGCCATTCGATAGGGTAGCTCTTCACGTATTCATCCCATACGCCATCATCAAACACCTCCCTGAGGAATATACTGAAGTTTTCATCCACTCTGTTGCCTCCCCATCCACCTCCAGACGCCTTGTGTAACTCTTTCAGGCAACGGTTTTCTTGGATCTCGTGTACTGTGATGTCCACTGTGCCACCTACACAAACGCATGCGCACACATGAATGAAGTCAGACCTTCTCCCTAAATTACAGAAGATCCAGCCTTTAGAAGACCCATCCTCTCCTCCCGTTTTTCTGCTCCTCCACAAGACTTCATTAAGTGAGAAATAAAAGTAAAAATTACCGTGACAAGCATGGAAGTGGAGCCCACACTCTGGGACTGCACTGCAGTCCCCCTGCGTTCAGCACTGCAAAGCATCCGTGCTCTGCACCCAGCAAATTTGTACTCATTGAGAAGGGAGAACATTATTACCTCCACAGTCAACGACAACATACTGGATCCCAGGGGAGTCTTCAAACTTTCTCTTGTCACTGCTCTCTGCAAGAAACCCTTCCTGTGGAAGCTGTTTACACCAGAGTGATGCAGCCTCTGATTCCAGGGCAATAATCAGCTTCTCAGAAATCATGTCAGAGATAAGTCCTGCCTGAAATCACAAGAAAAGTATCAATTCAGGAAAGGTGGCAAGATCACTGCTGCACGGACACCATCTGCTAGTGAAACTGCTCTCACCCACCCTGAGGTAATGGTTCTTGCACTTCTGATTTCTGTGGGCTCAGTTCTGCACAGCCACAGGGGAAAGGGCAAAGCTGTTGTTACTGCCAGCTTGGGACATTTTCCTACATACACATCATGGGAGAGTTACCTTTCTGATACACAAAAACTCAAAATACAGACTGTCTAAGTAATGAGAAATTCCTCTTCCTTAATGACTAAAGAAATCTCAGAAGAGAACGTGAGAAGTGGGTTAACTACTGCTTTTACCTCTTTGGCTGCCAGCCGCATGAACTGCCTGGCAGCTGTGCTCCATATGGCTGGGACAGTAATAACCCAAGTGATTTCCTCCAGGTCACAAACGGTATTGGAAGAGGCTTCCTGGATAGTGTTCAGGGCATGTTGCTCCATGTAGCGCAGGCTTTCAGCGAAGACCAACAGGGCAGGAAGGGTCTTTCCATTGCTTGCTTCCAGCCTCATGTCAGAAGTGACTTTCTACAATTGAGAGAAAACAGTTAAAATGTCTCTGGGTTTGTATAGGGCAGCCTCGGGAACAGTCCTGTCCCCTGTACATGAACAATGCACAGAGTGTGTTACGGAACAACGTCCCGTCTCCATATCTCAGTAGATTCCCCAAAATGACTTCAGTATGTGGCTAACAGAAATCTAACTGACACAGGTCTGCCATCAAACTGTGTAACATTTCAATAGGCAAAATACCAGGTTGTATAAAGACCCTGTAGGCCAACCTGAACATTGGTGGGGAGAATCATTCTTTCTGTGTGACACGATACCACATTTCCCAAGCATGTGCATAGAGCCTTCAGGTTGCTCATGTCTTTCTGTGTGTGCAGTTAAAAAAGTATACATAGGAAAAATGTGCATACAAATATCCATCTGTTCTGATTCAGTTTCTCCACAATATAACAGCTTGGGTTTTGGCCCTGTGTGTCTGCATGGGTGTACCCGAATCCTGAGGCAGATGTCTGCTCTAAACTCCCTCCATCAGTTCCTGGTTGCAGGTTCTGTCTAGAAGAAGTGGAAATATTTGCCTGCATCCAAAGACATTTTGGGAGCCAGCTTTCACCACATGTGTTTCTCTGTTCCGCTTTGGCAGTGATCAAAGTTGGCCCTACAGCACAAGGATCATAAACGAGATCACCAAATCCATCAACCTGGGATCTTCTACAGCCATACGTAGGCAGGTGAGGAGGCTGCCCAGCTAAAATAAGAAAGAACTGTGAGGTGGAATCTGTTCCGGAGGTGCAGCCACTGCGGAGAAAGGGAATCTCTGTTTATTTTTGCTTGTAAACTCATTTCCTGTCACTGTTCCTGACTTGGTTAACAGAATAGGATATGTCCTCCATGGACGCTTTTTGTGGAGATTCAGAAATAGCTGACTGGGTTAGGTGTCTGGGAAGTGTTGTTTCCCTTTCTTGTTGTTGGGTTGTTCATTTTTTGGGGGGGAGGGGGACTGGGGGTGAGGGTAGGAGTGAACTAAAATCTCTCTGAAGCCCTTCTGCCCTAAACGTGGCTAGGAGCCCATCACTCCACAGGTAACAACACTGCAGCAGACCACATCATTCACACCTTTCCTGCAGGGGGAAGTCTTCACAGATGCCTCCCATCTCCTTCCAAATCCAGTCAGAGCTCATTGCTTAGCACTGGGAGATTCAGAGAGCAGATGAGACTTCTATCTGGGGCTCACCCTGTGCTCGGGGTTATTCCACGCTAACAAGCACACACAGAAAGACCTTCTGCAAACTCTCACAGTGGAGAAACACCAGTGTAGAGGATATCCACAGTAAAATAAAAAACACAGATCCAAAAAGAACCAGTGAAGGTAGGCAGTGGCCCTTAGAAAGCAAAAACTTCAATAGACAAAAAGCAGGAAGAGGTGAAAGACCTGTGGGGCCCTGGAGCACGGACAAGGAAGCTCTAGAGTAGCATTACATTATTGTGAAGGTGATGAGACACAGGCACAGGTTGCCCAGCGAGGTTGTGGATGCCCCCCTCCCTGGAAACATTTAAGGCCAGGCTGGATGGGACTTTGTACAGCCTGGTCTAAAGGGAGGTGTCCCTGCCTATAGCAGGGGGGTTGGAACTGGACGGTCTTAAAGCTCCCTTCCAACCCAAACCATTCTGTGATTCCATGTTTGGCTGAACAAATCAACCCAGATGTGCTGTGAACAATTCTGAGCAAGCACAGAGCCTTCTGAGAGAAATGACAGCAGGACACGCATAAATTGGCTTCAGCATATCCCTTCAAGGGAGGGAGAGAGAGGCCAGCAGAAGTGCGTAACACGGAAGGAACCCTGTCTACGACCTAGAAGCTGCCAAACTTCAAATCGTAGGACACTTCTATTGTTCCCTGCAGAAGACAATGAATATCACACAAATGAGGAGCCCATAATGCCTTTAGCTTGTGAAGAATGTATCTCATTTCTTCTTTCATTTGACAAAGTGCTCTTTGACTTCTCTGATCCTCACCAGCCAGATTGCTCAGCTCCCTTCACCACTTCCTTTAGCCCACATCCCTCCAATAAACAAACAGCCTTGACTCCCGTGAGCGCTCTACATACCCTGTTGTACAGGCTCATCTTGAAGTTCTGGAAGAAGTACCACTTGTGAGCTTCGCTGGCTGGCAAGCTCTTGTACTTCATCACAGCATCATAGCCAAATTTTGCAAACTCCTGATTCTCATTGAACAGGATGCAGGTGGGTGTCTTCAAGGAATTGTGCCCATGCTCCATTCCCCAGAACACCTGGCGGATTTGGTCTGTGCCTGAAGCAAGGGAAAAACAGTACCCACTGTAGGACGTGCCAAAATCTATAGAAACAACAAAGAGTGAACTGCTGGCCATAGCTGACAGCAGCACAGAGGAGCACAGATCTAGAGTTACAGAGGAATACAACTGGAATGAAAGTGATACTGCTCTGGCAGCAGAAAGAAGCCAGTCCACCCCTGTCCTGACTGGCTGGGGAGAGATAAGAGTGACTGCAGTTACAAGAACAACTGCTATTTCCCGTAAAAAGGAGGAGCTGAAGCTCATTGCGAAAACAAGTGCCTGATTCTTGCAGTAGCCTCCTGTGCACACAGCAGCACAGTCCCTTGTGCTGCTGCTCATTCGGACAAACATTTCCTCCTGCTGTAAGTACATGGATAGATTTACGTGTAACAGCTGCAGCCAACATGAGATGCCTGAAGGAGAGTGGACAGATGCTGATGCTAGAGTGGCGACTTCAGAAGACATCAGGTATGTTGCACTGGGGTTGTCCCTGGGTAAATTTACTGTGTTTAACTCTAAGAGACCTGGGGGCTTGCAAAAAAAAGATCTGCAAACACTTCCTGTTCATGAAATATTTCAGTAAGAGCTTGATTTTCTACTTCATATCGGGTGGAACTTCCCTGTGCAATCACAGAGCCAGTTAGTCCTGCAATAGCATCCAGCTCCAAAGGCTAAGGCAGACATTATACGGATGTGAGAGAAAAAGAAATTGGAAAGAATCTTATGAGCAGCCTAACAGAACTAAGGTCTCAGGAGCATCCTGTCCGTGCAGACTGTGTCCATGCTCCCTGTCCTTTGTTGTGAGGGGAAAGATTGATTTAAATGCAGATTTTGTACTGAACTTTTGAACTCAATGAAAAACAGGTGTCCTCAGTTAAAGTCTGGAGATCAGGTGATCTAGCTGAAAACCAACTCATTCCAGTAAACTGAAATCCATTTCAGCGAGAGAGGAATGGGAAAATCATGGGAGAGAGGGGCACAACAGCTCCTTGCAGCAGTCATGCAGACATGAATTTGCAAAAACTGGTGCATAGGCTCTCCCTGATGCTGTCTTGCTGTGGGAGGCAGCTTGCTGTGTACTCTACCTACCTGAGCTGCAGGAGCACCTGAGCTTGAAACTGTTCACTACAGTTAGCTGATGTTTGGGATTTTCATTACAAAACAGAGAACAGAAAAAGTTAGAAACTGCCAAAACTGAACTGCATCCAGAGGTGTGCTGAACCATCATGTGCCTGTACCCTGGCTCTGATCTATTCACCAGCATGGGTGATGCCATGGAGTATCTGCTCATGGGGCTGGCTGCCTTTTAGAAGGTGCATCTTCAGAGCATGTCATCTTTTTTATTCTTCATTTTCAGAAGTCCCTCTTTTTTTTTTGTTTTTCTTTTTTTTTTTTTTTTCAGAAGAGAAACATTTAATATCCCACAGCAAATATCAATCTGTGGAAGCAATACTTCAGAGAGGGAGACATTAAAACCTGATCTGTCAGAAAGGCTGGAGCAGCTGGGAAAAGAATTTAGGTGAGTCTGGTGACCAGAAATTATCTTTTAAATACTCATTCTTCTGCTCTGAAATGATGGACTCCTGCAGTTTCGCCACTGTCCTTTGTGCTCCCAACCTTTATGGCAAGGGCTGTTAGAACAGTAGGTACCTCTGTGGCTGCAAAGGAAACTCAAGGGCTCTTTCCAGAGACAAAAGCAGATGCTTTTTGGCTGTCGCCTTCCCTGAGACTACCTAACTTGCTGAGGCTGGCAACACTGCCAATAAAAATACAACCCAGCTCATGTCTGGCCTCGTGCAGCCCTAGGACGGCCCTGCAGTGGTGCGTGTGGGCCAGAGCAGACACGTGATTAACCCTGCAAGCAAACAGGCAAGCAAGAAAACTGAGCAACAAAACAAGCAAACAAGAAAAAACTGTGCTGTGTGGCAACACGGTCTTAGTCACAAGTTGCAGATAGGGGGTGTAGAGAAGGCAGAGTTGCAGATGGCATTGCTACTCCAGATGTGTTTTCAGCCATGTAACAGGGCTTGATCCATGTTGCAAAGTTGTGCTGACTGCATTGTGTTTTATCATTTCATTCTTCCTCGATGGACTGATATGCGGTGCGAACAGATCTTTCAGGGATTATTTTGAGATTCAACTACAATTTCTCTGGAAGTCCTGCAGGTACTGTGATTATATGTATTAAGAATTTATATGAAGAGAAAATCATAATGTTGTTGTGACTTTTACTATTCTATTATATTCTATTATATTCTAACTTTGGTCATCAGAGCTCTGTTCTCCGAGGCACATCAAACTAACTTTCTTCTATTTGACTCTATTTGCATGGCCAGGCATAAGCTCCAAGGCAACTTTGTCTTGGAGTGCAGAGTACGTTGCCATGACACGTAAAAGGAAATCATCATGTTGTAATATAAGCTTTAGATTCCATATAATTACCTTGCTGAATAGGCAATGTCTGCATTAAGAAGATCCCCAAAGGTAAAGGCATGCACCCCAAAGGATCGGGAGGTGGTGAAGGCAATGCTGAAAACACTTTGAGTAGATATGCAGAGTCAGACAGGGGAATTTTGGGTGAAAGTTGCTCTCATGGGCTAAGAACACACTGATGGAAGACATTGGTGCTGGAATGGTGGAAAGAAAGAGGGATGCTGTTATTCAGGAAGAAAAAAAAAAAAAAAAGAAATAGTAAATGAGTGATATTTGGAGTATAAAATGTGAATCCTCAATAACTACGGCCAGGAGGGAATAACTTCAATTGGTGTAGCTGGATTTCCAAACCATTCCTGAACACTGCACAGCTTTGTGCAGAAGAGGCTTTCCTGTTGGGATTTCAGTGAGGACAACTTGTGGTATTCTGAAGTTTCTGAATATGGTTGGAGTATCTTTAGGGCCATGAGAGGCTTTCTGATGTGCAGTTCTGTATAGCCTGATAGTGAGGACAGTAAGTAGGAGAAACATTCACATATTCTGAAACCTAGGAGATTTCTTCAGGAGTATCTCAAAGTTTGAGACTTAAGTTGATGTCAGGCAAAGGTTCCCAGACTGTGGACATAGACTCAAATAATGGCCAAGTTTAGAATCATAGAATCATAGAATCACCAAGGTTGGAAAAGACCTAAAAGATCACCCAGTCCAACCGTTCACCTATTCCCAATAGCTCCTACTAAACCATGTCCCTCAACACAACATCCAGCCTTTCCTTGAACACCCCCAGGGTCGGTGACTCCACCACCTCCCTGGGCAGTCCGTTCCAGTGCCTGACCACCCTTTCTGAAAAGTAATACTTCCTAATGTCCAGCCTGAATCTCCCCTGCCGTAGCTTGAAGCCATTCCCCCTGGTCCTATCACTAATGACACGAGAGAAGAGGCCGACCCCCAGCTCACTACAGCCTCCCTTCAGGAAGTTATAGAGAGCAATGAGGTCTCCCCTGAGCCTCCTCTTCTCCAGGCTGAACAACCCCAGCTCCTTCAGCCTCTCCTCATATGGCCTGTGTTCCAGACCCCTCTCCAGCTTTGTTGCCCTCCTTTGAACACGTTCCAGGGCCTCAATATCTTTCTTGCAGTGAGGGGCCCAAAACTGGACACAGTACTCGAGGTGCGGCCTCACCAGTGCTGAATACAGGGGAACAATCACCTCTCTGCTCCTGCTTGCAACGCTGTTTCTGATGCAAGCCAGGATGCCATTGGCCTTCTTGGCCACCTGGGCACACTGTCGGCTCATGTTCAGCCGAGCATCAATCAATACCCCCAGGTCCATTTCCTCTACGCAGTCCTCCAGCCACACCGCCCCAAGCCTGTAGCGTCGCCTGGGGTTATTGTGGCCGAAGTGCAGGACCCGGCATTTGGCCTTGTTGAAACTCATCCTATTGGCTTCAGCCCAGCTCTCCAGCCTGTCCAGGTCCCTCTGTAGGGCCTCGCTACCCCCAGGCAGATCCACACTTCCAGCCAATTTGGTGTCATCTGCGAATTTACTGAGGGTGCACTCGATGCCCTCATCGAGGTCATCAATAAAGATATTGAAGAGGACAGGCCCCAGCACCGACCCCTGGGGAACACCACTCACAACCGGTCGCCAGCTGGATTTGATTCCATTTACCACCACTCTCTGTGCCCGGCCCTCCAACCAGCTCCTTACCCAGCCAAGAGTGTATCCATCCAAGCCTCTGGATGGATATTATTCTTGTCTCTGAGTTAGTTTGCCTAATTAAAGAAAGCTGTCAGCAAATCCATGTAGATTCAGATTACACCTCCCGCATTCAGATCCCCATTCTTCATTTGTTCTCAGGTCTATTTGAGTAATATTGATAGCTTCTCACATCTTTAGGTAGATTGCTGCATCTGACCTTTGTATGAGGCAGGAGGCAAGCAGCTCTGACCCTCCCCACAACCAGAAACACGGGAGCTCTCAGGAGTTAACACTGGGTGTTTCTGAATTTGCTCATCCCTGTATTGTCCTTTCACCTAGGGACAGTCATTTTTCTCCAGTAAACATACTGCATTTAACACCTCCAAATTTAGACTCCAGAAACAATATTTCTGCGTGCAGTAATGAAGGTAATTTAATTGGCAGCTCATAGGCTTGATGGGATAATCCACAAGATCAAAATATTAATATGAGATGGTATAGTTTACTGTGAAGGGAGTGGAAAGAAACATGGCAGAAGAGGTCTCCTTTATATTAGAACTGTATGAGATCTACAACACAAAAATAAATATAACTTCTAAAAAACTCCAGTAAATGATAAATATATATATATATATATATCACTTTCATGGTGTGAGTGTGCCACAGACCAAATACCTAGGCCAGTCTTCTTGCTGCCACTACCTGACCTGGGTTTATTCTTTCAAAAGAGCATTCTGTGACTCTTTAGACTCATCCACTGGAGGAAAAGTTGATTGAAATTACCCAGACATCTGTAGAGAAACAAATCCAAGAAAACAGAAAAACTCTGACAGGCTTGGGATGTTTGATGATAATGTTTTGAAGTTAAAGAAGAAAACTGTAGAAGCGATGAGATTCCAACCAGAGGAGAATACCTGTGTTTTTCTCAAGCCCATTGCTGTCGTCTTGTGTCACCTCTGATCCTTGTAACCCCACCTCCCTTTCTTCTACTCGAGGTAGCTCTGCCCTTACTCTACGTCCTAGGTGGGAGCTTCTGGGGAGGTTATTTAGCTGGTTATGTGATGTCTTTTGTGGGTGCTCTACACCTTCCCACCTGACAGCATTTTTATTGGAATTTGGGGGACTCAGTGGGGACAAGTCTACCATTATACCAGTATCCTATTACAAAGAAACACATCTCACAAAATGAACTTGTTGCAGTGCATCTTCTGGAAGCATCATCCAAAAAGAGAAAGAAAACTATGAGAAGCTCCAAGAGAGGATCAGAGATCTAGAGGCACGGTAAGGTATTTGTTCACATCACATTCCTGATGCAGTGTGTGCTCTTACACTGAAGAGCCAGATAGCCAGATACTTCTTGTTTCCCCCAGTTCCCCTTAGAGACTCTTTTTTTCTTTTTTTTTTTTTTTTTTTTTTTGCTCTGTTTTGTTTGAAGACAGCCTAGGCATCCTCTCCCCAGACTTTGGATTCTGATTGCTGGACGATAGTTTGCTTTGTCCTGGAAAGGAGATGTTCCCAGGGTGAATATGTTAATAAAAGGAATCAGCTGACAATGACATAAATACTGCTCTTTGATCATATTCTACTCTGACCATGCAAAAATGAACTGGTAAAGCAGTATTTCCCACACGAAAGCTGCTTGTTCTCTAGTATGGTACAGCTAGGAAATACGCTGTAGAAAATATGGCATTTATTCTGTAAAATAGTTACATTAATCCACCGTTTTGTCTTATCTTAGCTAACTTTTTTCATACCTTCCTCATTCTAGAAACGAAAAGCTCTTGTCTAAAGCACTGAGCATGCACAAGCAGTCAGAGAACTTGAATGACCCTTTCCGCTTGTCTGCTGTGCTGGATATGTATAGGATGCTTAAGCTACACGAATGGGGAAAATGCTGGAGCAGCTCAGCCCGTTTGTCCTATCCAAAGGCCAGCAACATAATTAAGGTTTGTTCATGTCCACTTTATCAATCTGAATCTTATCAAGTCGATATACTATAGCCAGTATACCAGGCTTTGAGCATTTAGTACTTCTGTATCAGCCAAGATTGGGCACTAACGAGACTACAAGCTCTGTTGTTCCAGTCAAGCAGGGCCTGTGTAATGCTATAGAGAGAAAAGTGACAGAGACTTCTTTCCTCCTGCCTTTCAGAAGAACATGTTCAAATCCCAGTCCCGTATCTCACCCATGTTAAGGAAAACATGATCCAGTTTCCTTATGGTTGATACTTTAGGTACGGTATGGGAGATCCCAGTCTGATGGATGACCTCTGATCCTCAGAGTGTTTAAAGGAAAGCACCAAAATGGTAGAATTTGAAGGACAAGGGTGAGGTGAAGCATTTATTAGCACATGCATACTGAAGAATGGCCTTCAACATGCAAACAGCTCACAGAAATGTTTATTTCCCAGGTATTAAAGAAGCATTTCAGTCAATTAGGGATCCCGGAGTTTACTGATCAGATGTTCTCTTTACATTACAGAAGCTGTTTGATGCCTGTGAGAGAGATATTGAGAAGAGAAAAACTGGCACATTTGAAATCCTTGGCTTTCCACTTTCACATGATGCTGCGAATACCTGCAAACAAGTACTTAATATCTTTGTGTAACTGTGCCCAGCCAGTGGGATTACAGGGCTATCTTTATTTAGAGCTCAGCTTCTGCTAGGGATGCTGTTCAAAATATACTGGTAAAGACAGCAGGGAGAAGTTACAAGCTGAGAGGGATGGGGGAGAGGAAAGGCAAGTTTCAGCAACCCTTCTGTATCCCGCAGACACATGCAGTCCTGCATGTTAGAATTGTATCTGAGCACATTTACAAATGCAGAAAGCATTTCCCAGATGCACGTTGCTTTTATAGGATCTTCCTCCACAGCCTGAAGCTGGAGGCTTCTCTGTTTCTAATTGACATGATCTGAAAAACACAAACTCCCAGTGCTCAAGGAGTGAACTGCTCATGTCAACACGCTAACAGTCCGCTTTGTGCTGTGCTTGGTTTTTAGGAGCTGATGCCAGATATTATGAAACTCTTAAGATATGGCTATTATCTTAACGACTCGGGCATTAACAAAATTATTAAGGTAAGTTAAAATGGATGCCAGGATTAAGGGGAAGGATTTAAGTTTCTGGCATGTCTATGCAGTTTGTTACAAAATGGAATATGTCTCGCTTCTGTTTGGAGTTTTTTTCCACTTGTAAGAGGGTCTTCCTGCCCAGATACTCCCCTATATTCCCATAGACACGGTCAGAGCTACACCTAACATTTTACCTCCCCGGCTCTGCATCAGGAGCAGTGGGGAGCAGCAAGACAGGCAGGGCAGGTGCCCTCATCAGCAAGGGTACAGTTCTACAAGACCAAAGCAAGGTGAGCAGAGCAGGTCTGGTGACAGTGATCAGGGTGAGACACAGAGAGGTGATCACCAACCAGGTAACAACCAGCCCACAGTGACAAAGCAAGCTGAGGCTGAGATGAGAAGTTGGTCTATAGGTCAGATGAAACAGCATAAAGCTGGGCACAGGCACCCTTCTGATCCTGAAGCAGCTCCTGTGCTGGGTGTGGGGGGCATGTGGGTTGTGGCCCCCTGTGAGGCTTCCCATAATTTCTCATGTCACTCCTGCAAGCTTTGCTGTTTTTGCAGCAGTCTGATCCAAAGTTGTACAGCCATGCTGTATCAGAGCTGACTCTGTGCACAAGCAGTCAAACCCCTGGAGAGGCAGGGGAAAGCTTGCAGAAGCTGTTGGTGTGTTCAGAGCCCAGTTGCAATCCAAGTGAATTACAGTCCAATTTTTTTTCCCCCAAGAAATACAACTAGCAGCTTCATTCTTTTGCATCATGCTGGGCCCTTTCCAAATTTCAGCCTTGATAAGCTCTTTGTGAAGCTCTCTTGTATATGAGGAAATACAGACAGCTGCTGGATGTTGTTATGGTCTAGAAGCCAAGACTTAGTAAGCAGAAGGTCCTTTTTGGTGACACTGGGAGCCCTGTCTGTCCCACTTCAGCTTTGACAAATGAACTTCAACACTTGGATGATGTGGGGCACATCTGCATCACAGAATGTGAGTAGGGAGGCAAGGTCCGCTCATCTAAGTCATACTATAAAGCTGTGAAAACTGTTCTTGATTTTCAGCATGCTGATGTTCCTCTGAAAAATATCGAACAAGAGCAATTTGCAGTGAAGTGCTGTAGAGTTTTCTGTTTGCTGCTTCTTCAGGACTCACCAGTTAAGGCTGTGTGGAACATACATGAATGCTCTCTTCAATATTTAGAGCACGTGGACCAGCAAGACTTAAAGTACTGTAGAGCAGAGCTTCGAATTCTATGGCCCATGCTGATGAATGAAGTAAATGTCATTGAGAGAGGTGTAGTGTGGAATTAAAAGTAACAAGGCTTTAATGTCAAGCTTATACTTACATGACCATAAGAAGATTAAATAGCGGTTGTACAATTTGTTGCTTTTCTTTCTCCTGCCTGCTTTTCATATCTAGTTAAATGTTTCTGGCTTGGAACACCAAAAATAAACTAATATCAAACACCTATTAAAAAGCAAAAGTGTTTCCCTTGGTGGAGTGCATAAATTTTATCTAACTTTGATTGTCACTATCTCTAGACAGCATTTGTGTGGAAAGAGAACCTGTGTTTCTAGCCTACCTCATCTGTTCTTTGCAGATTCTTTTATGGCCTCAAGTTCCACTAGGGGAGGTTTAGGTTGGATATTAGGAAAACTTCTCCAAAAGAGTGGTCAGGCACTGGAACAGGCTGCCCAGGGAGGTGGTGTAGGGTGGGACAAAGAAAGGTATTATGAAGAAAAGACCTTGCAAATGAGTAAACAAGCTTGGTAGCTATTTGCACCATACACATCCACAGACAGAAATATGGTTACATTTTTCATTTATTTTCTCTGAATCCTCTTTAGAAACCAGTGAGATAACACTGGTGGGGCAACCACAGTGGCCTAATTTTGAAATACATAAGCTTACTCAGTAGGAAAGCTTAGAATGTAAAACACTTTGAAAAGATACTTTCTTTAATGAGGCTTTAAATAAAAGTAACATTATAATAAACACAGCTACAAAAAGCAATGTGCTCAACCAGTGCTGAATATACAAGAAGCATCTCAAAATCGCTGCCCCATATTAACATGCTGGTAGATGCTTTCAAGGAATTTGCTTTTTCACAAGTGGACAGGCCTGAACCCCCACAGTCAGCATCCCACAGAGACTTTATTGTTGGGTTTCTAACAGCAATGTGTTATCTGAAACAACACTGAGAACACAATTGCCACCCTGCCAAAGAAGATCCAGGGGAGAGCTGGGGCACAACAAGGCTTGGTGGCTGTGCTCCTCAGAAGAGCTGACCCTGTGATGAAGAGAGGTGATGAGCCAGCACTGTGCAAACAGGGCCTGCTTAGGAAGGGTTGGCAGGCTTTCTACACAAAGCCTTCCCAATTTTCAGGTTTCATTGAAAAGTCTGCAGACTTTCATACAACTTGGTCAATCTAATTCTCCAGGATTTCTCAAAGCTTTTGAAAAAATCTTTTACCACAGGATCTCAAAGTATCTAAGCTGTCATGGGGCAAGAGAAGGCCTATATGAATAAATGATTGGCTAAAACACAGGGAAAAGAGGGTAAGAGTAAATGGAGAAAAGACACCTATGGAGTCTGGCAGAGTCTTTGTAGTTTAACAGGGTGGAGAGTGGCCTTGAAAAGAATGAGCCAGGAGGTTACAGTTTTCTAATATGAAATGATTTGGGATTATGAAGATGATCATAGTATCTCAGAATGGTGGGGTTGGAAGAGACTTCAAAGCCACCCAGTCCCACCCCGTGCCATGGGCAGGGCTGCCGCCCCCCAGCTCAGGCTGCCCAGGGCCCCATCCAACCTGGCCTTGAACCTCCAGGGACGGGGCACCCACAGCTCTCTGGGCAGCCTGTACAGTACCTCACTGCCCTCTGAATAAAGTATTTCCATCTAACTTCTAACGTAAATTTTCCCTCTTTCAATTTAAAGCCATTTCCCCTTGTTCACTATTAGATTGTGTAAAAAAATAGATCACCTCCTGTTTATAAGCTCCCTTCATGTACTGGAAGGCTGCATTGAGGTCTCCCTGCAGCTTTCTCTTCTCCATACTGAACAAGCCCATCTCCTTCAGCCTGTCTTCATAGGAAAGGTTCTTCAGCCCTCTGTGCATCTTTATGACCTCCTCTGGACCCACTCCAACAGCTCCATATCTTTCTTGTGCTAAGGCCCCAGGCCTGGATGCAGAACTCCAGCTGGAGCCTTACAAAGGCAGAACAGAGGGGGACAATCACCTCACTCACTCTGCTGGCCTTCTTTTGTGCAGCCCAAGATACTGTTGGCCTTCTGGGCTGCAAGTGCTCGCTGTTGGCTCATGTCCATGATGAGAGGACGGCAGAAGATTTTACACACTGAGTGACCGAGTGGCAATAAAATGGCCGAATTTTGGTGTGTATAAATGCGGTGATGCTTTTGGGGGGAAGAAATTCTCACTGCACAAACGAAAGACAAGCAGCAAAATGATGTAGCTTTGATAGATAGCTGCATGAAATCAGCAAGAGTGACTGAAAAATTAAATCCAGTATTAGGAAACACTGGCAAATGAGCAGGCAACAAGACAGAACACATCTGGGTTTGCTGCTTGTCTCTTGTGATACCTTAACACTGGAAACTGGAAAAGGACTCCTCATCTGGAAGAGGAGTGAAAGTGGGCTGAAGCTGGGTGCGCACAGCCTTCGATTCCAAGAGCGAGACTGGCAGATGGAAGGGAAGCCAGCAAGAGAAGGTGGCAGTCCATGCTGGTGGGCTGCACTCCTTGCCAAAGGACATTGCGGCCATGCAGCTGTCACTGGGATCAAGGAGCCCCTCCGGGTGTCTGGGGGGATGAGCTCTACTGAGGCGATGAAGCAGACACGAGCAGCTGGCAGCGCACAATGAGGAAGTGCTGGAAATGCCCATTCTGACTTGATTCTCCCCCTGCTTGTGAATGCTGTTCTGGTTAACCTGGATTTCACCTGATCCAAAACGATGCGGTTGGGTTTCTCACGGGGTTCAGCACAGGGGGCAAGGAGCCTCACACTCAACAACACTCCCGATTGTGCTGTCTCCTTGCAGGTTGGAAGCAAGACACAGGGGAGAAGCAGCTTGAATCTGAGCCGCTTGGGCTGCTTTTAATGCTCAGAGAGATTTGATGAAAGGAAGGTAGGTTAGCTTTGTAACATCAGGCTTGAACCGCTCGGGCCGCACCGCACCAGAGCGGAGAGGCGGAGCTGCAGCCACACGCAGGGACACGTGGTCTCAGAGACAAGGGACGCCGGGCAGCTCCCAGCCCCGCCCCGCAGCACAAAGCGGCTCCGCCCCAGCAGCCGCCGCCGCAAGATCTGTCCTTGCTACGCCGCGCACAGGGGGTCGGGCAGATCATTGCACCTGGGCATCCCGCGAAGTAAGCGGGTCACCCGGGGACGACCTGTACCCGCGCAAAAATTCCTCTCACATCAGTAGTGAGGACCCGGGCGTCACCCCGGGTCGTTATTTTCCTTACTCATAAGTTTAAGGCATAAACCAGATGTCTCAGCCTTGCCAGCAGGGCCCTACGCTTGGCCTCTCGTGGTCAGGGCGAGCGGCCCTCCCTGCTCCCTTAAGATCTCCCAGCTGTGCCCCCACTCTGTTCTTCCTTCCACTCGCTTCTCTCGCTGTTCTGAGTCGCTGTGGGCCGGAACGCGCCGGTACCGATATGCAAATAAGACCCAAAGCGCCGCGCGGGGTTGTGGGAGTGCTGCGCTAGCGCGCGCCCTCCCCCACCCCCTACGCCCTCGGGTGGGGCGGGGGCGGGAACGGGAACCGCCCGCCTTCAGAGCGGCGGAAGCGCCGTGATGTCACGTCCGCGGTTCGCTGGCTGCGTCTCATCGCTGGGCCCCGCGACAAGATGGCGGACCTGTCGTTAGACGAGCTCATACGGAAGCGCGGTGTGACGGTGAAGGGGAGGTGAGCGGCCGGGGGGCGGCGCCCCGGGCCCGGCGGCTGCAGGGGATCCATCTCTTTTCCTTTCGGGCCGTCCCGCTCTGGAGGCCGCTGGCGATAGCCCGCCTCGGCGCGGCCCGGCCCTGCCCCGCGCTTCGTCTTCCCATTGGCTTAGGCGTCGCTGTGCAGGGCGGCGATGGCCGTCGCTCAGGACCGGGCCGGGCCCGATCCCACCCCGTCTGGGCCCGCTCAGCGGCTCGGTGGATGGGGCGGTGTGGGAGGTGCCGCACACGTTGTGTCTGTTGGGATCAGCGCGGGGGAAGCGTCGGGTTGCGATGGCTCCGGCGAGGTTGTTGTCTGCCCCTCGGCTCTCTGCGGCTTGGCCGGGATTCCCTGCCTCATTGTTTCAGAGCTTGTGTAGATGTAGGGAGCGCTACGGCTTCAGTGCGGAGAAGAGGAGGCTCGGGGGAGACCTTGTTGCTCTCTATAGCTACCTGAAGAGAGGTTGTAGTGAGCTGGGGGTCGGCCTCTTCTCTCGCCTAATTGGTGATAGGACCAGAAGGAATGGGGAGATTTAGGCTGGACACTAGGAAATACTGCTTTTCTGAAGGAGTGGTCAGGCAGTGGAATGGGCTGCCTGGGGAGGCGTGGAGTCACCGACCCTGGAGGTGTTCAAGAAACAGTTGGATTTTGTGTTGAGGGCCATGATTTAGTGAGTACCATTGGTGATAGGTGGAGGGTTGGACTGGGTGATCTTGAAGTTTTCCAACCTTGGTGATTCTCTGATTCTGTATGGCTCTGCACTCTTTTGTATGACAGATGTCCTCCGTGTAGCCCAAACCATTTAGAGCAGCAATTGCAGTTCTTGCCTGCTCACGTGGTAGCTTTCCATCCTCTTGTGGACTGTAGTTTTCTCCCCATCTGTGTTAGTTCTGATTTTGTTTTGTTTATTTAATGATCACTGAGGAGCAATCATTTATTTAGCAGGTCAGCGTTTACATGTCTGCAGTAGTATTTCAAAAGGCTTATGGTATAAAATGCCTCTAATCGTGTTGTAAACAAGGCCTTAGCTTTGTGCTTTCATTCATGTTATCCTCCATGTTTGGAACAGTCTTACACTGCTTAATATGCAGAACGCTGCCTTTCTTCTTTTTCACATCCTCCTTCACTTTCATTTCTCAAAGGAAATTTCTCCACTTTTTTTATGTGGAACAGAAATACCTCAGCAGCGCTATAAGAACTTTTGTACCTTGCATTTCACTTGTTTTACATAGTTAGCTTAACTCATAAGATTTCTGGGGCAGCCAAGTTGCCTTTGGAAGGTTAGGCAAACAGAATAGACTTGTCAAATTGTATTACATGCTCTTTAGTGGTCTACATAAAATGATAACTTAAAAATCTTCAGCTGTGAAATATGCCAGCCCGTAAAATGTTGTGTGATGCAATAAGTTAAGTCAGAGCTTGTAGTGTTTGAAAGGGATGTTTGAATTTCCATTGTATTTCAGGTGCAGGGGCACAAAATGGATACAAATCCCAGAACAGTTTGTGCTGTTCCAGGGTGAGCAATTCTCCACAGAGA